GTGACCATATAGGGCCATAATTTCCTTTGACTTGGCAGTCAGAACCACCAGCTGCAGAGTGTACGCACAACTGAAGTCTGGATTCCAGCAGTGGCGTTAACTCAGAAAATCTGAAACTGAATAAAAAATTAAATGAATTTTGTATTCTATACACTTTTAATTCTGCACCGTGCCCTACATCTCGGGGTGAAAAGTGTAAACCTTTTTCCAAGTGTATGATTTCATTCCTAATTGAGTGCTGCACTATCTAGTTTCTGAGAACGTCTTTCGAAATCTTAAGAATACATTTTTAAAAGATAAAGTTGAGGATTAAACCTGCCTCTCATAATGGCATAATTTCATAATTAGATATGCTAACCCAGCTTTATTTCCTGCTCTTTGCACTCTGAGCTGGGAACATATATCAAGTATGATCACTAATAATGTTACAATTACAACTCTTTTGTAAACAAAAAATCAACCTTCTTCTTTTTTTCAGCATGGAATAAACCTATTACTTGTTCCTTTGCAGCCTACGCATGTTGACGCAGCTACCCACCTGAACTAAAAAATCAACCTGCCTTTATTACTGATGATTACCGAAGGTTTCTAAAGATAATAAGATGAGCTGGACACACACTTTCTCTACACCAGAAAAATATACTGAAATTGTGCCGATATGGGCTTGTGCAAGCCGAAATGTTGAAAAGTTTGAATAAATTTCATTTTTTGGAGATAAAAGAGGATCTGCATCCAGCTCATTGTATTATTTTTTATTCACTTGATAACACCTCCATTAATGTGGGTGGGAATTCTTCATTTCCCATTTATTGAGGTTTCCTCTCTGATTATGTTATGCACTATCCAGCCCTTTTGATTCAGACTGTTTACTGGATTCAACAAGACACTGATTTGCACACTGAAGTCCCTCTTATTCTTACTGTGACATGATCATCATCACATCACTGTAAACGTTGCTCAGCAGTTGACCAATAATATTCCGGAAGGTGTGAAAAAAGGCTAAATTCTGTGAGACGTATGAGTTGGGCATCCGCAAGGAAAAACATTTTTAGGATACCAAAAAGACATCACCTCTTCAATAGTTATGAGTCTCTTAGAAAGACTATGGACCAATGCAATCAATTTTCTCTCTATAACTGACAACATCAATCACTAACACAATCAACCCCTGTGTTAAAAAAGGATAAACTAGGTCCCAGCCTACCCAGTAATTATTACCCAATCTCTGACTCTAGACCTAGGGAAAGAATTTAGGATGGGCCATTTTATTTTGGGTTCAGTTTGACATACAGAACTGAAGCAGCTCTTGTTAGGGTTACTAACGACTCTTTGGTTATTCATTCTTGTTGACTCTTTGTAGCTCATTCTTGTCTTGCTGCACCTCAGTACTGTCTTTAATAGTTGATGGTACCATTCTGTTGCATAGATTTGCCATAGTTAAAAACTTATCTAACTGATGAACAGTTTGGTATTGTATCACTTCAACAAAGCTGGTCAAACTGGGCTTCTTACAAGTCTTGACAACTGTCTTTCTAGTATCTAGAGCATGTTTCCATTCAGTCAGATTCTTCCTATGTATGGAATCAGTTTTCATTTCTATGCTGATGAGAACCAAATTTATGCTTGCAAGATACTTGACATTAATCAATGACTTTCTGTCTTGTCACACTGCTTAGACAATTGAAAAAAATGGATGAACAATGTTTTTTATATTTGAACTCTGACAACACTGAAGCTATGCTGATTGATTGACTTCAAAACTGTGTCAGCTTTCCTACTGACTGTTAATAGTGTTGGAATTTGAAAGCAGGAAGTTCTCTTGGTGAGGAATTGTAGTGTCATCTTTGATTCTAGTCTTGCATTTGAAGTTTATGTTCCTTATATAGTGAAAGTGTAATTTTCATTTGTATAGCATTACTCATATCCATGCATGTCTCTCCCAATGTGAAAGACAATGTGTAGGTATGTCCTTTCCAAGCATGATTAACACAATTTTTGGTGGTATACTGAAAATGCAATGTTTGGTGGTATACTGAAACATTCTCAACAACTTGCGATATGTTCTGAATGCTGCTCAAATCTTAACTAAATCCAAAATACATGAGTATATCTCTTCTTTTTAAGTCTTAATTCTCTAATTATTTTTGGAATTCAGACTAAAATTAAAGATACTTCTGGTCACCATTAAATGCCTGAGTGTCTAGACTGATGAGTATATCAGTACACTGTTTCCCTATACACCTACACCTCTTTTGCTCCCAACACTGGGAGACCAAGTTATCTGTTCTGTTGTTCCAAGGCACTTTTAATCCCTGTCTAAAAATTTGCTTTAAAAAACAAAGTTTTAGTTCAGTTACATTTATTGTATTAAATTATTAAATGTGTACTCGTGTCTTTCTAATGTTTTTGCTGTGGCGTAATAATTGATTATTCTAAGTACTATATTGTGTTTCCAAAGACAAAATATGCAATCAAGATTCAAGACACATATTTGTTATTCCTTTTAAAGGTAGTTCAAGCATAAACATGTATGAAACCTGTATTTTCCATAAAAAAACAGCAAATGGATTTGTGACAACACAAAAACAGCAAATGGATTTGTGACAACACAAACATGTCTTTTTGCTCCTCTTTTCTTAAAATTAGTAAAATGTCTGATGGTAGCCAGTTGGTATAAAGACCTTGATTAATCACGTTCTTAGTTGAGAGTTTAGAGCACTAAGCACAGAGAAAGTAGGGCACTCCTGACAGATGCTGGGAAAATCACGAGGTCATCCCTAGCCTCCAAGTAACTAAGTCTATCACCCACAGGCACACTCTGATCCACTATTCCAGTGAAGAAATCCCAGCTGGCTTGACAAAGCTGGAGTACTTTGGCTTTAGAGGCAAGCATGTTCTGTCCCCACTACAAGCTGACATGCTAGACTAAAGAATTAAAAGCTGTCTTCTAAAGCAGGCGCGAGAAAAGCTTTTAGGTCTCATGTGGCAGTATCTGTGAAGCAATGTAGAGGTCTGTTAGAGTTCTTCCCCCTTGTTTTCACCTTAGAAATAAAACACTCAGCACAGTGATCCCGGTCAAAGGTTATTCATTCACACACTGCACAGTGATCTTCAGGTTAGAGGTGATGCAAGCCCACCTTTCCACACTAAAGAGTGACCTGGTCAGTCGACGTTTGACATTTATAACCTCTGGTAGCTGGTACCCCCTGACTGCTGAGACAATCAAGGGAATGCATGTGGTATTTGTCAGACTTGGAATTTGAACCAGTGATCTTTGCAGATGCAGCTTAATGCAAAAAAACATCAAGATAGACACAGCCAGAACGCCTCACTAATTAACACAAACTGCTCTACAGAATGTCACAGAAAACAGAGATGGTAATTCAGACAATAGGATTTAAACCCCCCCAGTTCTGGACATGAAGAATTATTTGGAAAAATCTGAGTTGCAGAAACATAGAAAGATACTGTATCACTGATTAATAAATATAGTCCAATACACAACCACAATATGCCAAAGTGAATTCATGAATGTCCATCCATCCATTTTCTAACTGCTTTATCCAATACAGGATCAAGAGGGAGCCGGAGCCTATCCTGGCAAGCAACGGACACAAGGCAGGATACACCCTGGATGGGGCGCTAGTCCACTGCAGGGCACACACAGACACAAAGAACACACGCGCTCACACCAGGGCCAATTGTTCCAGAACAACATTAACCTACCAGTGTGTTTTTCTAACTGTGGGAGGAAATCAAAGCACCAGAACAGAACCCACACAAACAGAAGGAAAATGTACAACCTCCACACAGATAGCAGCCCGGCTCCAGGACTGACCCCAGGGTTAGAAAATGGGAGGATGGAAACATTTTTAAGATCCGTGGTTCGCAGTTCTTGTTAATGCTATGAACAAGCTGGATCGGATCAAGGGTGATAGCATGCTTGTGTTTGGTGCAACAATCGTAGTGCGTGACCACCAGCACAACCTGGTTTCTTAAGGAGGTATCACCAGAGATACAGGTGCGTGGATGCCAGAATCTGCCCCTGGGCTTACAGCACAAATGCCGTAGCACTTCATTTGAATAAAACAAATAATTGAACTTTCACATAGAGACAAAAAATGCCAAATGGGATTATCCCAAAACTGTCATGGTGGTTACATATCTGGCATAGATCAGGAGGGTCTGGTTTTGCCTGTGCTCATATTCAACAGCCCTTTAATCAGATGAAGGCTTAGCTGCAGTGCACACATTCATGCCCTGAAGTTACAATCCTAATGATGTGACGCAGATAAAGCACTCAGGTACGGTACATAAGCATCTCTGTACAATACACAGCACATCGTACAAGGAACTTGTAAGATATCTTTTGGTGCTCACGTGCTCTAGGAGCAAGCAGTTGCCATGAGTTATGGGAATGTGAATATTAACTAGATCTGGTTGCTTTCACAATGTTTCACCATCTACACATTCTTCTAATTTTGCTTTCCCATATTTAAAATAATCTAAAGTTAGCTGCATTTACTGGGGCTCATCCATGCTGCATAATTAACTTTGACAAGTCTACCTGTGTACACTGGCCTTTGTAAAAGGTAGCCACGAGTATATACTGTACACACTATACAGTATGTAAGTATGATGCATACTGTATATCATATTGTATGTCAACATCGCATCTAGGACAGCTTTGTACCAGCACAATGAGATATCTTGTCAAATGTAAAGTTCTTTAGTAAAATGGTTATAATGGAAAATACCATAGCAAAATGTTATAATCCTGTATCATAGGTTACTCATTTAAATCTAGTTATTTACTTTTTAAATGGAAAATACAAATCTTCATATTAACCGTTAAAACATGTTCCTGAATATAAGTCTCTGATATCTATATAATCTATATGTAACAAAACAACCTGACACAGAAGTCTTTATCCATTTTCTCAGGCTTAACTGAAAAGCAAACACTTGAAAGGACTGGGTGAAGTAACAGGGTGATTTACCAGCGCCTCTTGCTTAGGTGAGAGCAGATTAAGTGGAGTTTGTGTAACAGATTTCACCTGGTCTGAAGCTTTCTGCTCATTCCTCTCATTGAAAAACCTCCCAGGAGTTCTCTGCGCAATGTCAGCATGATTAAATAAAAAAAGAGACTGATTTAGTTGGTCATCCCTGTATGCATCACGATAGTTTTAGTTCCATCATTTGTTTGGAGATTGAGTGACTAAGCATTTGCTCTGAGCAGTGGTTGTACATTTTCTTTAAAGGCCAAGCATGATGGAGATCAAAATATATTAATAATCTAACTCCAAACAAACAGCAACACACTAACATTTGTAGAGTTCATGCATTGAAGCAAGGTATTAATTCACAACTGGTTGTGTAATAACACAATCCGAACAACAGAAAAGGCTTAAACCTGGCCTCAGAAGCATTCACATTCATTGCAATCACAAGCTAATGTTCACTTAAATATTAACGGCAATTGTCAGCTTGGACAGCCGTGGTAATAAGATGCTGAAGACGCAAACTTGACAGATGTGCGAGTATCTGTCTCCCATGATTACAAACAGATGTGAAGGAAATTTTTAAAGAAAAACCTTGCATTTCAGATCACGGACTAGATTTTGAATACAATTATTGTTCCATAATTCTTTTCTTCTGTATATCAGAAAATATATATATCCAGTTTGGAGCAGAGTATGTGTTTCGAACGCAGTGTCTGACAGGAAAGGAAGAGTAAATACAGCAGGATAAGGACCACAGACATCACTATGGAGTACACAGCCACAGACTGTGACAGAACAAACTACTGTACAGCTTAAGCTTCACAGCTGAGATCCAGCATAAACAGTGTTTTGCACCAATAAAAGAAACGCTACTAAAAAAACCTTCCAGCACTATTAAAACTTTTTCATAAGAGTAGCAGAATAGTTTATTATACATAAAAAATCGTAAGTCTTCCTAAATGTAGCTTGATTTAACAGATCATTTGCTGAAAAAAACGTTTATATTTCCTTATGCTTTACCGTTAGAGTTTATGAAGATGGAATATGTCTTGAATTTTTAAAACACATTCATTTGAGAATCGTAATTAATAATGCTCCTAAAATGTCTCGGGAGACGTGCCTTCTCAAAAACTATAATGATTTAGTCTTGCATAATATAAACATCTACTACGAGACAGGTTTTGAAAACTAAAAGGTTTTTAATTGCTATGATAAAGAAAACAATCTTGATTGGAAGCATTTATCTTTTTATAGAGTTTTGATTTAAACAAGAACTTTTAGGGCCACTGAGCCATATAAAAATGGTATGTGTTGTCAAAATGTCCAACGGAGACTGATTTGCTCTGCTTTGATAAGCCTGTCAAAACAATGGTTTTCAAGCTAGACTGAAGTGGTGTAAGTCTGTTGCCACCTTTTTTGTGCTTCCACATGACAATGACTCATGTGGTTCTTAATTAATTAGAATGTGTAGAAAAAGCAAGAGAAATTAGTACAGCTTGACCTCAAATCTTAGAGAAGCAATCATTTTCATTTATTAATGAAGCCATAAGCTGTTCCCTTTTAGCAATACAAATGGTACTGAGCTTATGCTGCAAGTCTCCAATTTATTCATGAAAAGTTAAAGTCCCCATTGCTTTAGCTTAGGGTGAACAAAAGACAGATTAACATCTACAGGTACAACTAAAAAAAATGGTCTTTATTCCAGTAATTTGAATAATTTAGTTAAAAAGAAAAAAAGGTATCAAATCCAGCTAATAATGGAAATTGGTATAGTAGTGGGTTATCACAGTAACGGTGTGTATCAATATCAGTGTCAGGGTTATTCGATAATATGAAATACTGCCTTATTTTCTTTGTATTAAGCCTAATAAAAATTAAACTATCTAAAAAAACTGCAAATCTGGTACTTAGTGTAGTCTTTTTGAGCAGCAGTGGTATCTTGGTTCTAAAACTGGTGAACCTCTATCAGATGCAGCATGTTTCATTTGCAAGTGGAAAGAACAGTGATCAAATCTGGGCCTTTGCATTTTCCTTGCTGTGAGACTTCCAAAAAAAAGAAACATTCCTTGCTGCAAATTTCTGATTTGGTCCATCAATGCATTTTTGTAATTTACCTAGCATCGGAGGAAAACGAATGCATGTTTCATGTTGCTTAATTAAATTGTACTTTGTTTAATGAAAGTGAGACGACGCATTCAATATTGAATATTTCTAAATAAAAAACAGGAACTATCACTTTGAGATAAGAGCTATCAGTTTCTAGCCGAAACTGAAAAATATGAGAAAAACGAAATGGAAACGTAAACTTTCCTGTAAAGAAAGGGAACTGATTCTGGCATTTCACAGGGAATTTTTACTGGTGAGATTCAGAATTAATACATATTACAACAATTAGGACAGACAATAACTGGTGACATATGTAAAGACAGAGTTAAACACTTAACTCCAGACTGTGGGAAGAAGACAATTATGGATTCTGATCCATAATGATACATACAAAATAAATGTAACAAATCCAAAAAGGAAACGTTGTGGTCATCATATTATATACTGAGAGGCATTAAAAATGTATCGGGTGAGCACTGGAAACTATAGCATCAGTTGCATTTTGGTCCCTCCCAGTACATGAACCACAAAGAGTGACACTTTGTAGAAATAGAATGCTTTGTCTTGTTTTATGCTTTGCAGTTGGATTTGACTTCGTCTAGGAATAAAAACTTTCTCTTGTTTGAATCTGAAAATAGGAAAACATGGATGTAAGACTTAGTGGATGAAACGGTGTCACTGCTTCAGGCTGAGAACACAAAAAAATCTCGGTGTCGACTGTAAGCACGACTCCATACTGTGCAGTCGCACCTCATTTCAAAACAGAACGCTCATACTGTATGAAAAACATGGCGCCTCGGTGCGCTTTCTTCCTCAATTAGCATTAAGACTTAACTACAGCCGGGCAGCAGCTCGTTTTCACTCCTTACCTTTAATTTCTCGAAGCGGTCGCTGAGGGCGGCCACCTGATGATCGCGGTGACGTCCCACCAGCTTGCACAAGGCACAGATTAACTGTTCGTCCGTCACGCAGTACATGTTCACCTTTTCGTCCTCGTGCTCCAGACACATGAGCCCCCGCAGGTGCGAGTCCGGGATCGGCTCGATCAGGCGGTGGCCCGTGAAGGGCTTCTTGTTAGGGTGGGTGGCCTTGAGGCACTCGTCGCAGTACGAGACCTCGCAGGTGACGCAGGTCTTGACCGCGTCCTGGGGGGGGTCTTGGTCACAGAACTGGCACTGCACTTTTTCGCTGGACGAGGTCATGGTGTTGCCGTCGAAGGCCTTCTCGCGCCGGGTCTCGCTTGGGGAGTTGGGCCCGCTCACGGAAGCTTTCTGGAAACGGTCGATGATATTCTGAAGGGTGACGTTGCGTTTGAGTCCCTCTAGGCCCCTTTGGTTGAGGGTGATGACATAACGACAGGTCGGGCACTGGAAAGCACTGATAGACTCCACGGGCTCGTTAGACGTGCAATGGGAGACCAGGATGCGATGTGCGCAGCTGAAACAGAGGCTGTGAGCGCAAGGCAGCAGCAGCGGATCTTCGAAGAGCTCCAGACAGATAGGGCAGGTCAGCTCCGACTCCAGTGTTTCCATCTTCAGGCGAAACAAAGCGGTGTCGTCAGCGAAATCCAGGGAAGCTGATCAGCTATCTGGAAAGATGACACAAAATTCGATTAGACGAGAGAGACCGGGGGAGGAGGGGCGGGGGGAGCCATGGGGGGCTGTCAACTTTCCCAGAAAGGATTGAACAATTAATGTGTCGCACTTCTAATGATGAGACAGAGAATACAGAGTACAAAACACAAACTTTGGCTGAAATAAAAAAAGATTCTACAATTTTAACAGGTTTGAACCTTTAAACTGTTCATTATTTTACTTCGCTGAAAGCCGGGAAAAGAAGATTCACCTCCTAAGAAGAGCAAAGAGATTGATGCGCATGTTTTCTGGAGGATCGTTTACAAAAGCTGGCATCTTAACCACAGAAAAATGTAAAATTCCTGTCCAGTCCTAAGATATTGGTTTCTCGATCATATGTCAGCTTCACTGCTGTTTTCATAGCCAAAAAAGGAAAAGTGACATAATCAGGCTCAACTAATCTTTGTGCTAAAAATGGATGATTAATTAGAAGAAATACATCTGTTGCCTAACAGAGATTGGTGTCAAAAACAACATCATTTGTTCTTTTTCCGACAAGAGTGGGACATACAATAATATCACGTGGTCTGTACCACATTTTTCAGCTCTTATCAGGATTCTATCAAAATTCTAGCAAGGCAAATACATACACAGGACCAAGCAGAAGTTAATTCCACAATGAAAATTCAAGAGAAAAAATGTGTCAGCTGCAGAAACATAAATCCAATTAAATAATATTATAAAATATGATCTGCTTGCATTTCTTTTAAATTTTATTGATTTCAATTCTGTTCTACTTGTATGACAACGTGTTATATAAAACAGGCTTGCTGTCTGGAATTAAAAAAAAATGGCCCTGCCTGGTTCTCCCTATCTGCTCTGTTGTTAAAGATCTACCTCGGACAGACAGGTCAGTCAAGCAGAAGTGAAAGCTATGCCCAGCGCAGTGCTGTACCTCTTCACAGTACTGTACGCAGAGCCTTTGTTAATCGTAGCAGAAGACCGGCACAGACAGCCCAGCTGCACCCTCTCCGCACTCTTTAACTGTGTGAACTCCAGTCTCTCAGTACGTTTTACAGATCTCCACTCATTAAGGGTGAAGAAGGCAAAACCGCTTTAACAAGCGCAGCAGCCCAGGAGTCTTTGAAGTTCTGGAGATTCATTATGTGACCATGTGTTCCAGGCGCAGTGAAATGACTGGTGCTTATTCTTTCTGTCTATTGAAAACTTTGGAAGCATTCTGGAGAGCTGAGGTAAAACAATAAGTCAATCTGAGCAACAGCCATTACATTTACTTCTCCGTGTAACATTAGTGTATTGTTACTGTATGTTTAAGGTCTTTATAATAGTAGAGGATAACATCAGGTTCTCCCAGATACATTTTCAAGTGCAGTTTGTTAATTCAGAAGAAAAGCAGATGCTTTATTGCCATTTATTGACTAAATTAAGTAACTAAAAAGCTTTATAAGATTCTGTTTTATAACAACGTATACCTTTACTTTCTTTTAGAAGATAATGCAGTTTAGTAAATTGCTCAATTTGAGTACTTCGGTCAAAGTCTAGGGCGAAGTCAATGGGAAATTTGAAGACTGAGCTTAACTGGGGAAATTCCCCTGGCTGAGGAAAACGATAGACACCCGGTCCCTAAGGATGGAGCTGTTCAAACTGCACCCCTCCTTGTTTGAGGATCGAGCCAGGGAGCTGCTACAAGGTTGGAGATGAAGTGGAGGAAAGAATACAAAACCAAAACGCAAATGAAGCCTGATATTTGCACATAGATGGAAAGAGGAGAGATAAAGGTTTGACCTCCTCCCACGTTTTTAAAATTATATTCATTAAAGTATGCATTTTAAACATCCACCCATTTTCTAGCCACTTTATCCAATACATGGGGGAGCCAGAGCCTATCCCAGCAATCAACAGGTGCAAGGCAGGGTACACCCTGGATGGGACGCCAATCCATTGCAGGGCACACACAGACACACACACGCCAACCAGGGCCAATTTCACATGTATGTCTTTGGACTGTGGGAAGGAAACTGGAGCACCCACACAAACACAGGAAGGACATACGAACTCTGTGATAAACACCACCCCAGTTTCCAAAAGTGAACCCAGGGCCCTAGTGATATGAGGCAGCAATGCTAAGCACTCTGCCACTGTGCTGTTGAACATGTTCCTGGTAAATTATGCCTAATATCTGGAGCTGCTTTATAGCCACACTAAAATAAAAAATTCTGATTTAAATTTTAAATTATAGTTTGGATTTTACTTTAATGTTAATTTTTATCACTTTAAAGTAAAGTTAATGATTTATCACTTTAAGTCAGTTTCACACTATTCCTAAAGTGCTAATAGAGTCCACTAAATACTTTACTTCATACATTTATACAAGTAAAATAAAAGGGTTAAATTTCAAACCACTATAGCCCTAAGCCTAACTCTGAAAGACCCCATTTTAAAACATTACCACGTTAACCATTTTGTAATTATTTATTTCAATTCACCCACAAGAAGGAAGAATTCTAGTATTTCAGTTTTACTGCAAAAAAAATCAGTGTTCGCATATGCAACTATTTAAAACATCTGCCACCGTCTTTTGAAATGGGAAACAAAAGATATTTCAAAAACACAAAAGCTAAAAATTCCAGATTAGCAGTTTTGCTCTTGAAGATAAGATCAGGGGTGGCAGCGCCTGAGACTTTTTTACACAGCATGACCATTATTATTTGATTTTACAGTCACAATGTTTAAAATGACGGGTGTAAACTCAGCAGCTTGATTCTCCAGACTCTCACCCATCAGAAGAAGTTAAACATTTGCTATGAAGAGCTGCAATTTACCTTTGTTGGGAGAAAAGGCACTAGTGCTGCAAAGCTTGTAATGTGCTGAGCAAGCCCATCAGAAAAACGAAAACTGACAAGAATGCAAACTCTTAGATAACACTAATGTCTGTGATGGGTCAGGTGGCTTTACACAGTAAGCACTGGATTATTAATGCTGCATACTGCAAAAGCTGGAGAACAATACATGTAATGTTGCAAACATTGTAATGCAGGGCTACATCCACTACTTTGAAAATTAATATCAAGGTTTTGTGCTTTGAATCTGTTCAAACCTGAATACTAACAGCAACAATAATGAGGCGTAATCTCATCATATATTAATGCTGTTAAATTTATTTAGAATTTTTTCAAAATGATCCAATGAAAAGCTCCAGAAACAATGTAATTGTATTTTAGAAGGTAAACCTGAAATCTTTTATCTTACTTACATATTTAACCCAGGAGAAAATTGTTAGATAGCTAAAACTATCCAGACACAGTTATTACTGTATTTATTTTCTACAGCTGCTGTGCAGATGCTCTGTAATAGCATATTAACCGGTTTTTCATATTGCAGCTTAAATGTCCTAAATTTCTTGTCCGACAGAGAAATTATTTGATCAAGTCTCCAGATTCTAAACTGTGATTGATATCTATTAATAATTTTAGAGCTGTTTAAAGAAATCAAAGACTGAGGGCTCAACTGAGAAATGAAAGACCTCTTGTCAGTTATGGTGATCTCAACCCATAGGTGATAATCTTTGGTAATACATGCTTCTATATATTTTCTGCCATGTTACATTTAGTTGTAAATGTGCTGTGGCAGTCATTTATATTAAAGCATGTGCACACTCTCCCACTGACCTACTTCCTTACAAACTCCTCTGACAGCCCTGATGTGGTTTGGAAAAGGCGCTAACTGACATGTGGAACAGCTACCTGCCTCTGTGAACACTAGGTAAAAAATGAACACATACCGAAGAATATGCATAACCGTGTGGGTCTGCGAGGATATTCACATTTAAATAACTTATTTACCTACAAAATAACAACAACCAAGGCTTTTCATAAACAAATTAAGGATAACACCCTTTACCCACAACATCATAGTCAGGCACGAAAAAGCTTTACTGGTCTAAAAGCTTCAAAGCTTTTAATTCAACAAAATTAAAAAAAAAAACGAAAAGCAGGGAACTTCCAGTTCCAACAGCAGCATTCAGTTTCTGTCTTTTCTGGTGTCACAAACAATCATGAATGATCTCCTTACGTAGAAGTAGCACTACAACAGATTAGAAATCAGTTTGCTGCTGCCCTCTGTACTTTTCCCCTTCCTCCTGTACTTCTAAGGATTACTTATCAAACACTGCAGGTAAATGTACACCCTGGCCAACCGCCAGGAGAAAGGACTGGGACTCAGCCTGCAGGAAAGTCTCAACAGCCTCTCTTTACGTGAGTAACTCTCTACATTACCCACCGATGGATTTCGCCCCGGTTGGCTTCGCTGGGACATTTCTGAAGGAAGATCACCGCCGACCCAAATTACAGAAAAAAATACCACCACTAGGATGAGGAAGCCAGATGGCAGCGACCTTCAGCGCTCAGTAATCCCGATGCTGGGCTGTCATTTAATGCGAGACAGTCTGATGCAGAGCACAACAGGAAAAGCTGCCCTACAATTCCAGGAAAGCCAGCTCCACCTAATTTACCTCCGCCAGAGCTGGGAGAAGAAAAACCCAGCAGAAAAAAAAACTGAGCCCTCCAACAGAGCGAGCAAGCTTTTCCAGGGGACCCCACGGTCGAGGTTCAAGATCCACTTTCCTCTGCCCATTCAGCAGCAATTGAGTGAAAAGCTAGCGGAGATCAGTTTCTCTGTCTTAGCGTCCCCCCAGCCTGTCCCCTCTGCACAATGCTGTGTTGTGTTGGGAACCTTGCTGAGCTCTGTCACTGAAAAACTGCAGTGAGCAGCAGCCCAACTCACTGTGTAATTAATCCCAAGCAGTGTATACGAGATCTCCGATTCCCAAGCTCCTAAACAAGAGGCTGACCTGAAACCGACAGATTGCATCACAGACTGTTACATCTCTGTGTCTGTGTACGTGTTCTCATTCTCTATCTCACTCTGCTTACGACTCCACACACATTCATAATATTTATTTTCTTCACTCTTATTGAAAAGAGACATAAACTATGTGCTATCAACTTTGTCTGACCCCCTCCTAAATCCTCTAGAGTTTACAATGAATTCTCATAGGCGTGAGAGTTTTGGTCATTAGCTGTTGTTCCCTGTCATGTCAAACTGCATATGGTGTGAAGAATCCCCAGTGAGATCAGACAATATTAATATCATTAAAGTATTATATGAATTAGTCTCAGGAAAGATCTGCCATTCTGTGTGCTCAGAACGTATGTCACAGAAAGATGTATAGAGCTTATAACCTTTACAAAAAAAAGCTTCCTTTTGGTTTACTTCAGCATTTATTTCTTGGCAGCAAACAGTTATTGAATTACTCATTGCTCTTTGTAATAGTGATATCCCCTCCCTAGAAGCACACAGTTGTTGATTAGAATACACTTGTGTTCCACTTCCTTAAAAATCCAACTGTTTGTCCACATCAATCACCACAGCAAGAGTTTGGGTGTAATTAAACTTTTAACTGAGGAAAACCCACTGTTTTCTTTTGTGGAATGGTTTAGATGCAATTTAATCATTGTGTTCATTAATCAATATTAAAAATAAGGTTTATTTCATATTCTGAAATTAATTTTGAAATAAATAAATTTTCTAATTTTGATTTGTAATTCATTTACATGACAATGGTGAGTGTATTAGTCAATTCCTGGATTCAATTAGTGAATTCCACACTTTTTGCCTACTGACCAACAACTGAAACGGAAGACATTAGAGACGTATTCATTTTGCCTTAAAAAAATTCAATATATATTAAAAATCACATAAATTTGGTTTATACAAAGATATTCTCGATGCCTTCTTTTAGTTCCACAGATCAACAGCCAAAATGAGGCACGCTGTCAGCTGTTTAGCTTATGCAAGTCAATCCATTCAATACTAAAAATGCAAAAGCATTTCCAAATTAAACCTGCAATGAAAAATTCACAAATAAATCTGAAATCATTATTTGCTATGCACATAACAATGACAAAATGCAAAACAGTATAGATTTGTGGTTGTGTTTTTTCCTGATTGCAATTAGGTTGCTTTTTGTTTCAGAATGTAACAAACCACAAACATCTTTGTTGGGGTGACATTATGGTATCCATTATAATTACTCATTCTGCTTTGTTTCCTTAGCTTTATATACTTTTTTGAAGTCTCATTTGATTAATTAATTAAAGATTAGTACTCTCAGACCCAGCCAAGACGACACTTAAGACAACCACCATCATTTATGACAGTTTTCCAATAACTTGAAACTGCTTGGAAAAACTTCCTCTTAACAAAAAACATCCCAAAAAGGATTTGGAAAAAGAGACCAAGGCCACCACCCATCATATATTAATGCTTTTTTTCCTCGTTCTTTTGAATTTTGAAAAAAAAAGTTCATATTCAGAATTCCTTTGAAAATGGGTAAAAGAAGCCCTTCTCATCTCTAAATTCCAATAGCTCTCTATGCAAGGTCACTTAATTTCCTTTCTGACTGACAAACAGGTCTTTGAAGACTTAAAAAAGGTCTCAATCTAACAAAGAGGGGGTTTCACTTTGTGGTGAGACACATCAGTCCTTGTTCTACATGTTACATGTTATATTGTAGACTATACAAATCAGTGAGTCATTTACACTTCTACCAGATAATTCAAATTGTAAATAAAAAATTTTAACTGCATTTTTAGGCCTCTTTCCCTAAATTGAACAGAAACGTAAAAAAAACCCTAAATGACTACTTTAATGTCACTTCAGAGTAAAGAGGCTTCACAATCTTTTCCCATTGTTTTCTTCTCACATTTCCTTCCTAAAAAGGTCAAATGAGAAAGATTGACAGTTAGGTCTCGCCTCCAGCAGTTATCTTAGCGACAGAAGTTAATAAATATTTTCAGGCTGCTGACCTTTGTGCTGCACTATATAAACACCTCGCCCTTAATAATCACACACCCACTTTTTTGTACATGTGCTGCCTTATTAAACTTTAATTTTATCTTCAGAGTACTGCTTCAATCCATTTCCAAGAAAAGGAAGAACATGGCTTATTAGTGGTATTTATTAATTAAGAGGCAGCCGAACTAAAACATTTTGAATGTTACAGGTATCTCACTGGCTTAGCATGTCAGGATAAATAAAGCCTAACTGACTTGATTAAAGCCTGGGAGAATCTACTATCCCTGGAGCTCTGTCATAAAAGAGCACTACATTGCTAATATGCATAGTACAGTACAAATATGAACACTACATGGCAGCAGATACTGTATACATTTTTTTGTGCTTATGGCCTTTCCCCATTAAAAAAACAGAACACACCAGTAGAAAAAATAAAAGGACAGTAACACAAAAGAGGATTGGTCTTGTTTGTTATTTCTTTGCAATTGTGGAGTCACCACTTGTTACAGAACTCGGTAAAAAAAAATGCATCCTTACAGTGAGAAACACACATCCTCAAGAATAAGATCTGCATGGCACTGTTGAGCCTGAGACAGAAGATGGATATGTGCTCACTGATAATACTGTAGGCTTACAATTGCTCAGCTAGTCTCACAACAAGTTAAGGAGACCCTGGCTGACTTGAAGCCCATTAACTCCTCTTGCTACTTGGGTTATTGCACACTAGTGCATGGAAAACTTTAGTCAGCTGATCACAAGTCCTTTTGGCTCAACAGACATCCATTCGCCCCGCCTTTAAACATGTATCTTAATGAGCTCCTTCTCCTCCGATGGCTCTAGTCTAGAGTGACTGGCATTCGTTGGCAAAGACACATGGGATACCAACTTAGAGTTAGGTGAACAATGCTCTCCCCTAACCCAAGTGAACTGAATATTTTTCATTTGCTGTGAGTGCAGGTCAACACAACTGCAGCACTGACCCAAACCAAAGAATAGCATGCCAGAACATTACGTTTAAAATTCTGACAGCCCTTGGTGTTCAGGACCTAGACTGTGTGAGACTAAGCTTTACAAGTTAAAACAAGCCTAGACCTTGATAATGCACCCGATAATGTTTTCTAATGATAATGCACATCTGTATACGCTGCATATATTAACATACATTTAGAAAACTGATCCCATTCTCGATAAATTGTGTGAAAAATCAGAATTCCAGTGCTGACCTCCAATACGGTTCACGTGTACATTAGGTGCCACAGCTGTAATGTGTGCATTAATTAAGAAAAACAACTTTTCAAAGGTTAATTAAGTTGGCTCTTACCTTTTACAAGCTCCCCTTAGGGCAATAACCTCATTTATCTAAGCGGCTGCAACAGGTTTTCATCATCAAGTAAATTTAGTTTGTCTTTATTATAACACGAGGTGACATTCCTTTGGGAACTTGAAATATCCATCGCTCCTATGCGACTATAAGAGTCTTTATTCATGCCTTGTCTGTATTCTTAATAGACTGTCGCTGCTACACATACAGTGACAATTTAAGGTTAAGCATGAATGGACTAAATAAATTGCACCCTAGGAATTAATCTCCATCTTATTTTACCTCACATGTTGCTCACCCTGAAAACAGCTGACACAAGTGTTACAAGGAAGAACAGTAAGGAATACAGAAAACAGATTATTGTGAACTATAGAAGAAAAAAGAATGAATAAAACAAAGATTTCTTGGAATATCCAAAACTTACTAAATCACTGCAAGAAGAAGGAAAGAGACGAACGCCCACTGTAACCTGAAGTCTTCTTACAGATGTGGCATTAAGAGGATCTCGGGCAGAGCTAACCACTTTATTGACACACAATTTACAGTAATCCTAAAGTTAACTACATCTGAAGCAGCTCTTCGAAAAACAATCCGACTGATTGGTCACTGTCATCATTCGTAAGCACCCCGGTCCCATTTTTCCGCCAGTTATTGCCCTTTCAAGATTTTTTAATTAAACTTTAGCCTGTCAGACCTGCAGGGGAGTTTCTGAATCCACTAGATGAGAAAAATGAGAAAACCTTATGAAGTACTTAAGGAAATGCTGGAAATGTAATTTCATAAGGTATAGAGTAATCCTAGACCTAAAGAAATGCGGTTTCATAAATCAATTTTGATTTCCCTCAGCTCACAAATTTACGAGAGAAATAACACAGGCACAATGTTATATAATCTACTGACCATTTATCTAGATGGGGGAAAACCTCATGATATTAATTTTCTGAAAATATAGTGAGTATTTTCTGCGTAAAATGTGACATATACAGCGCTACAATCATGTTATTATTAGAATTAATAAACTTGTAATACTTGCAAAGGAAACTTCAAAAGTTTGACCTCGATTCAAGAGCTCTGAGCTTGTCACTGTAATTTGAGAAAGCACATTTAGTGGATTTAGTATTGACTTGCACATCAAAGCCTAGTTTGTCTTCCTTTTGAACATTAAATATGATAATACAATAAATCATTATTTGACCTTGCCAGGATCTTGATAAGTCTGAGTCTTTTTTGGCATTTGATGGGAAAACAATTCCAAATAAAGAGATTGTGCACAATCCCCTAAATTAATTGCACACTCTATATGGCCCACAAACCAAAACTGGCAACTTGTACAATTGAACTTGTACCTATCATACAGGTAGCAGTGGTGTTAACTGCTCTGCTACAGGGAATCTAAACAGTACATTTTTAATTTCGAGGTCCCTCTACATCTCTCCCACACTTATAGACTCATTACAAACAGGGCCTCTCTGGCTGCAACCCTGGCTGAATGTCTGTGGTAGCCCCTGACATCAAGTTGAAAGAATAATAAATAAATCTTAGTAACAGATCTCAGATTGTACAGAATGTTGAAATGCATTTTCTGTATTAATCATCAAGA